TGTTATCATAACAATATTTTATGGAAAAGCTAGTTGTTAGTAGAAATCAGCTCCACTATAAAGTGTTGTCTGATGTATCGTTGGTTTAAAATCTAGTCATATATACAGATGCATTAGATCACAGACTTATGAATCGCATATATCGTGGGCGTTCTGGGTAGTACCCAGTGGGTACTAGTATAGATGCATGAATGTAGTAGTATAGAATGAGTGGAGTTTAGTTTGAGTGATCACTGTAGACTACAGTCTGTAGTATACCATGAGATAGGCCTTCTCTCAGGGAAGCTCAACCAGCGAGATCGCAACTGGCTCGACTTGAAGAGTACCGATCCGGGCTACCCAAATCTGAAAGGCAACATTCGTTGCGTGGTTAGCTCGCTCACCAAGAGAAAGCAGCAAGGTCTCAAGCTCGATTTCTTCTTGAAGGAGCTCAAAGGCATGTCTATTGATCATCCAACTCGTGCTGAGGTACGAGATATCATTGATGCCATGCGACGGCACGATGACGGGGTAGATCTTCCGGGCGACGCGGATCTGAGAGACAAAACAAATATGTGTATCGCTTCCGACAACCCTAAGGTGCAACTCGATCCCTCAACTGGCGAGCTTACTCGCATGGCGATATTCATAACATCGCCACGCATGCTAGCGAGTTATGTTGAAGCCACACAGCTGACCATCGACGTTACCTTTAACTTGGTGGCGGGAGCATGTGCGGTTGTGACCATCGGTGGACTTACGGCGTGTGGATCTGTTCGACCAGCGGGGATGGCACTCATACGGTCCGAAAATGCTGAGGATATGACTGAGGCCCTCCACCAGCTACATGATATGTTGAACAAGCTGGGCCTGGCCATACCTGACATCCAGAGAGTCATTCAAGATGGGTCTGCTGCCATAAATGCCGCAATACGGGAGTGTTACGGGAGTGCTGTTTCGGACTCAGTAAGCACGTGCTATTTCCACTTCATGCAGTTAGCTAAGGCACGTAAGGAATCGGAAATGCAAGTCGCTACCTGGTTCGAGCTGAACGCAGACTTGCGAACTTTGGCTATGGCCCATACGCAGCATGAGTTGGATGTTATCAAAGGTCTACTGGTGTCGAAGTGGTCTGCTCGTCAAGAGCCGAGTGTTGATAAATTGTTGGAGGATCT